AAAAAAAAAAAGCTGGAGTAGCAATACTTATATCTGACAAAATAGACCTCAAAGTGAAGGACATAACAAGAGATAAGGAAGGCCACTTCATAATACTAAAGGGAGCAATTCAACAAGAGGATATAACTCTGGTAAACATATATGTACCCAATGCAGGAGCTCCCAAATATGTAAAAAACTTCTGGAAGATATCAAGGGAGAGACTGACAGCAATACAGTCATACTAGGGGACTTTAATACCCCTTTAACACCACTGCATAAATCCTCTAAACAAAAAATCAGCAAAGAAACATCAATTCTAAATGACTCACTGGATCAGATGGACTTAATTGACATCTTCAGAACATTTCAACCCAAAGCTGCAGAATATACATTCTTCTCAAGTACACACAGGACATTTTCAAAGATAGACAACATATTGGGACACATGCAAAGTCTCTCCAAATTCAAGAAGATTGAAATCATATCAAACTTCTTCTCAGACCACAATGGCATAAAATTAGAAATCAACTACAATAAAAACAATGAAAAAAATCAAACACTTGGAGGATAAATAGCATGCTATTAAACAATGATTGGGTTACCAAAGAGATCAAAGAAGAAATAAAAAGCATCCTGGTAACAAATGACAATGAAAACAATAATACAAAATCTATGGGACACAGTGAAAGCAGTCTTGAGAGGGAAGTTCATAGCTCTACAAGCCTACCTCAAAAAAGAAAGAAAGAAAGAAAGAAAAAATGGTAATAAATTATCCAACCCAACTCAAAGAATTACAAAGAGAGCAACAAGAAAAGCCCAGAGTAAGCAGAAGGAAGAAAATAATAAAGATCGGAGTGGAGATAAACGACATAGGAACAAACAAACAAAAAAATACAAAAGATCAACAAAATCAAGAGCTGGTTCTTTGAAAAGATAAACAAGAGTGATGAAACTCTAGCCAGGCTCACCAAGATGCAAAGAGAGAGGACCCAAATAAACAAAATCAGAAATGAAAGAGGTAAAGTAACAACCGACCCCACAGAAATACAAAGGATTTTGAAAAAATACTATGAACAACTCTATTCCAACAAAATGGACAACCTAGATAAAATGGACATATTCTGAGAAAAATACAAGCTTCCAAAACTCAATCAGGAATAATAATAAAAAAAATCTTAATAGGACGATAACTACCAAAGAAATTGAAGCAGAAATCTTCCAGCAAACAAAAGCCCTGCTTCAGATGGCTTTACAGGGGCATTCTGCCAAGAATTCAAAGAAGACCTAAAACCTATCTTCCTCAGACTATTTCAAAAAATTCAAGAGGAAGGAACACTTCCAACCTCTTTCTATGAAGCCAGCATTACCCTAATTCCAAAACCAGATAAAGACACCACAAAAAAAAGAGAACTACAGGCCAATATCTCTGATGAACATAGATGCTAAAATCCTCAACAAAATTCTAGCAAATTGAATCCAGCATTACATTAGAAAGATCATACACTATGACCAAGTGGGATTTATACTGGGGAGGCAAGGATGGTACGATATCCACAAATCAATAAATGTGATACATCACATAAACAAATTGAGAGACAAAAATCACATAATCATATCAATCTATGCAGAAAAAGCATTTGTCAAAATCCAACACCCTTTCTTTTTTTAAAAAAATATATTTTGATTGATTTCAGTGAGGAAGAGAGAGAGAAAGAGAGAGAGAGAGAGAGAGAGAGACAGAGAGAGAGAGAGAGAGAAACATCAATGATGAGA